GAGATATGGCTTCAGATACGAGTTCACTCTCAAATGGCTATGGCGACTTCAGCGCCCAAACATCTCACTGTTCACATGCACTGGATCACCCTGGATATCCCACACGCATCACTCTAACACTCGAACACACACACTCACTACTAACTACAGCTATGGCAGCTATGGCTGCCCCTAACCTATCGCTATGCTAACTCCTCCTCTCTTGCCCACTGCGTCCTCCGGGCTCATCTGCAGACCTCCTTGCACAAGCTGCTGTGGCAGCGCTTCCGCATGGATCACGCAGGAATGAATGAATGGCTGGGCGCTGCCTCTTGATTTATACTTCCGAAATTCGTTGGTCTGCCCTTTACCTTCGGCCCTTGGTGCTCACAGTCCCCCTGTGGTACTTGCTGGACTGGACTGGGACTCTCTAGACCCTCCTCCTGACTGTAGGCAGTCGTACCGTCGACTCAGTGCAGTTGCACTGAGGTCCTACCTGTTGACCTTGCCACTTGTCTTCGTCTGAAAAACGTGGGCCTACCTTAGACTCACCACTTGACCACTTGCCGACCTTCGAGAAGGACTAAAGCTGGGCTTCTGGACTCTACTTGGACTCCTACCCTACAGGTCTACAGTTCGAATCTTCCTACAGCCTACAACCTACGGTGACCTACTTACCACTGGCTATCGTGCAGGTCACGGGTTCAACTCCAGGGAACTGTACAGATACTGTACACAGGTAAGCTGAGGTCAAGGGATCGACCCCTGGGATCTGCATCGGCTACTGCCAAAGGTGAAAACTGTTTCACAGCAAAGTTGATTACTAGGCTAACACCCTTGCATTCCACTAGGCGGTCCATGCTGTTAATCTAAAGCACGGTCATCTGATTTTCAGGATGCTGTTAGCTATCTATAAGCTGATTACCAGGCTAATACCCTTGCATTCAGCAAACTGACACTCGCTGATAATCTGATCTACAAACCGTAGATTTTCGGAAGCTGATTGGTTGCCTAGAAGTTGATTACCTGGCTAATACCCTCGCATTCAACTAATCAATGTAATCTGATAATCTCACCATAACCCTCTGAGATTCTGAGGTCTTTGCGTTCTCCAGCACCATGGATGTTTAGCGATCCTCTAGCTAATACCTCTCCGTCAATATGGCTCGTAGTTGGTTATGTAGCTCATGGGTCCTCGCTCCCCGGGAGGGTAAGAATGCAATAAATCGCACTTTCCCAGTAGGGCTGTACACTAAGTGTTTGGCTTTGTAGTTTGCTTTCTTGTTTTGAGCCTTGCAGGAATTGATCCCGTGACCTGTAATTTTTGTTTGTTAGTTTTGATCCCTATGGGACTCGATCCCTATGTCTATCACTGCTAGTCTCTGTTTGGTAGCCTTAGGCCATTCGGCCTTTTCCTTTTGCCTTGTCATAGGTCTAGGTCCCCTTTCCCCCCTGTTTCCATCTAGATGCAGATGAGTATTGGGTTGTGGCCTTTGGAGTCCATCGTAGGTCTAGGCAGAGGGTAGAAGTAGCGGGCAGGAAATTAATTTCGGGTCTTTTGCATTTTCGTTGACTGGGGAAACTCTTCCCGTCCGTTATTGGAGCGCTGCTGCGTTATTTTGGGCGAGGTCATCTTCTTCTTCGCAGCCCAGCCATAGCTGGGGTTGGGGAAAGGACGTTGAAGACTGCACTGCTGCTGATTCACAGCTTTGCATGAGAGCTTCCACAGGACTGTGTTGTTGGGTTTGGACGCTGCCACTTTCCATGTGGCAGCCATATCTGCTGTTCCTCCTCATGAGGAACTTCATCTTCTTCGAAGTGTTGGGACTGTTGTCTCCTTCTTCATCAGGACTTCCAGCGCTGCACGTCCGTGCGGGCGGTGAGTTGGCGCTGTTATCATCAGGGTTGCTGGTTCAGATTGGCACGTTGTGACAGTTGCGGGGTTACTGCTGCTACGGCAGCCATAGCCTGGGATATGAGGTGGCGAGGAGGAAGAAGAAGACTCCTGTATATTTCGTTGAACACTTGTTTCTGGTTGTTCGGGGTTGTTGTAAACGCGGTTGTGATTCTTGGAACAAGTACTCTGGATTGATTGGAGGAGGACGAGGGATTGCAGAATTGAAATTCGTTTTTCAATTCTCTGTGTATTTTGAGCTTCCGCTGTGCATATCTTCTCTCCGGTTTTGTGTGGATTTGCCTCCTTCGAGTCTACTCTGCAATTGCATGCGTGTATGGGAACGTGTGAATTCGTTGTGGATTGAAGTTCAACCGGGTACATAACATAGGCGGGTACCAGTCCAACAAGTCTGAGTCTAGGGCCTATACGGGCAATATCAGAGTCTGCAATGATGTTTCCCTTTGAAAGGGAGGAGGTACCAGTTGCTTGGAGGCCGCGCGGCCTGGGAAGTCACTCGCCAAGAGGCAAGTAGGCTGCTATACCTCCAGCAGGAGCAAAGTGCTCCTCATTATCAGTGTGCAAGTTTGGTGACACACTGGTTGGAGCACCGGCTGGAGCAGCACTAGCAATGAGCAGCGCTGCTGGGGACGAGCAAAGACAGGAGGAGGAAGAAGACCAGGACTAGGAGGGAGGAGCACCAGAGGCCCTTACCAGGTAATTCAGAACATTCATTTGATTGCAACTGGATTCGAACTTGGGTCTGTATTTCAATAGTTCGTCAGTGTACCAAACGAGGTAGGCTCATCAGTGCTCGTCTTTCTTTTGATTATCAGGTTCGATACAGCCATGATGAGGTTGTCAGAAGTTTACGTTTCTTCAAGCACAATGCGCCCTCATCATGACTGTATTGGACTTCAAAGCTCACTAAATACATTAGGGGACACACACACATGAATGGATGCAATTCTTTTGTTTGGGGGCTGCTGTCATGTCATGCGCAGCCATGATTTCTTTTTCTTCTTCACTACTTGATTTTTAAGAGGGGAGGCCGGGGTTGTACAACCAAACCCTGCCCCTGCGCTCTTTTAGTTCATAGTTATGGGACAATGTATATTCTCTCTCGATATTTTTAATCTGGAATTTTGAATGTGTGATGCCATCACCGTGTGCCCTTTCTCCCTTGATGTGATCAGGACCATAGGTTGCAGCTGCTAAGGCTGCAGACGACCCATTCCCTGACGCAGATCAAGCGACGGCATCAGAGATTCTACAGCCAGGTCTTCTCACCAAATGCAGATGGTGATGGCACTGCTACGAAGGGGGGAGCTGAGCTTCTGTCTGCACTTACTGCGGTTGTGCCCAGTGGGCCTGGTGGGCGGCAGAGCACGATATCCGGCGATGGTCATTATCCCACGGTGCAGTATGGGTGGAGAAAGAGGGGATCAGGAGAGCTGGATATGGCCTTCCCCCATGCAAACTTTCAGGGGGCGCCGGTCCAGCGGGCAGAGCCAACAACTGTTGGACGGGTGTTGGAAAGCGGTAGTGAGAAGGAGGCGATGCATGTGCAACAATGGGGAAGCCCAGGGGTGTACCACGCCATTCAAGAAGGCCACCAGAAAGAAGGAATTCGTTCGGACCAAGACTCCGTCACCAGTGCTTTCCAAACAAAAACCCAGCTTCGAGAAGGGGAAACAACTAGTGCTCCTGTGCCTGCAGTGATGGAGGTGGCATCAACTGCGACACTGATGGAGCCTTCTGGAGATGGAGCAGCAGCTGGAATGCCAGACCCTGGTGGTCCTGGGACTCTGGCAAAACGTCAAAGCATTTCGAAAGTACCCCTCCTCACCATGCCGCGAAGGGCATCCGTTCCAGTATCTGTGGGAAGGGCACCTTTGGCGGGACAAGTCCGAAGGATGTCCGTTCCACACTCAATGAAAATGGCGATGGCGGCGAGAGAAATCCAATCGCATACTCCATCTCCAATTCAAGAAATCAGCTTGCAAAGGGAGCTTGAAGATATGTCGACATCATCATCGTCGTTATCTTCATCTTCAGGAGACTCCGTACACATTTCTCCAATATCAAATAACAACCACCATCAAGATCAGCAGCAGCAGCAGCAGCAGCAGCAGAAGGAACAGCTGAAGCAGGAGCAGGAACAGCTGAAGCAGCAGCAGCAGCAGCAGGAGCAGGTGAAGCAGCAGCAGGAGCCGCAGCGGCAAGATACCAATGAAACAAATAAGGGGACTCCGAGGGTGAAGGTGGTGAAGCGTGTGGTCACAAGGCGTGTGCAAAGTGTGGACATAGGTGTAGGGACTGATGGAGACCTGCTGGATCTCGATCGCGACTTGCAGAAAGAGGTTGATGACTTTGTCTTTGGATCATACGAGTCGTTCTTCTATGACCGGAACATGGGCAAAAAGGGTGTGGGCGGTAATGCAAGAACTCGGCGCTGGTCTGTGCCCCCTTCTTTTGGTCAGGAGGACCATAGCTTGAACATGAAGGTGCCAGTTATGGAAACGAGGCGTTTCTCTGCTCCTGTGATTGGGGCTGGTCAGGATGGTTTGGTTTTCAATCAAAAGGGTCCAGGTGTGCAAACAAGACCTTTGACTATGGCTGATGCCACTGCGAGAGGAAAAGATGGTCCCTTCAGGAAGGGCACTGGCGTGGAGCCACAGTTATCGCCCCGTGGCACCAAGCATGACAATACAGACTTAAGGACCAAAGGCTATGGTGGAGAAACAAAGCGCTTCTATCTGAGCAGCAAGGAGTCCGTGGATACAGTGCAGCAAAAAGCCATTGTGAAGGAGCGACAGGAGAATGAGGACATGGTTGGGGGAAAGCTGGATGAAGTCCACCATGTAGATCTGGTCCACGAGGCTGTGTCTCGCGTGATGACATACACACAGATTCTTGAAGGGATGGGTCTTGGGGAAGACACCGTTGATGATGTCTCTACAGAGAGTGAAATGGAAACCCCTCGCAGGTGGACAAGGTGGGGGTTTTCAACCCCACGTTGGCAGAGGAGAAGGAGAAGCTCGATCGATAGTGAGACCAACAAGCTTGTTTCACATGCCAGCAACACCATAAAACATGCACGTTCACTGGTTAGTGTGCACCTGAACACACCCTTTCAACCCCTTCCTCCAACCACTCCCCCAGAAAAATCCTCTTTTTCATGACCTCCAGTCTGCTTCAGGCGCCCCTCCTGAGAATAAACTTGCTTCGTTTCAATGGTGCCAAGGGATTCTCCTTCCAAAATAATCGCCACACCATTGTCAAAACGAAAAACGTATGGGTGCATCTTCCTGCAGAGAATGGCAAGATGCATCCATTACTATGAATAGCAAAGGATGCATCTTACCACTTTCTGAAGAAGATGCATTCGTTCTATTTTTGTTTCCACAATGGTGTGGCGAGGGCCTTAGTGGGTCCTTTGTGCACAGTTCAAAATCAGTTGTGTGTACACGCGTGTGTCTGTGAAGGAGGGGACCCGGGGGGCACAGGGAGGGAGGGAAGGAGGGACCTTTTTGTGTATGTTATGTTCCTTGCTCATTCAATAGTGAAAGAAGGCAACAGCTACCGCGTTCCCCTAAATTGAACATACGGTCATTATAAGTCTATTTGGGAGAACTTTCAGTCTAGATGCAGCGATCGGGTGAACACGGTAGTGATGGACTCGAGTGCAGCCTCACTGTTACATGCCCAGTTGGGCAATGTATGTATAGCCAAGGATCCGCAAGGTGATGAAAAGGACTGAATGGACAATGCAGTGTTAGTGGAATCTCAACCAGCAGTGTACATCCTGATACATACAAAAGGGCACTTTGTAGCGCAGTGGAAGACTTAGATATAAGCCCTGACCTGACCGGGACTGACCTCTCTCACGTAGTACAAGACAGCGCAGCGGAATGCTAGAATACCAATGACTAGCCCAATCAATGTCGCAATGCAGACCAAACATACATCATCCTCATCACAAGGTGTGAAGGGGCCTGGCGCTACACACAGGAAGAATGCGCCAGGTCCAGG